TGTGTGTGTGTGTGTGTGTGTGTGTGTGTGTGTGTGTGTGTGTGTGTATATATATGTCTTTGATTTCTTCATCCAAAAACTGTTCATATCCTTTGATCATTTATCAATTGGGGAATGGCTTGCATTCTCATAAATTTGACTCAGTTCTCTATATATTTGAGAACTGAGGCCTTTATCAGAGACACTTGCTATAAAGATTGTTTCCCAGCTTCCTACTTTCCTTCCAGTCTTGGCTGCGTTGGTTTTGTTTATACAAAAGCTTTTCAATTTAATATGATCAAAATTATCTATTCTACATTTTGTAATGCTCTCTATCTCTTTTTTGGTTATGAATTCTTCCTCTCCCCATAGATCTGATAGGTAGACTATTCCTTGCTCTTCTAATTTGATTGCTTCATTGTCTATGGTACTTTTTAGTAGGATGTACTTTCCTTCCTTATCTCTTTAAACTAGGTACATTTTTGCCTTTACTTTGTCTAAGATCAGTCTTTCTACCCCTGCTTTTTTTTACTTTAGCTGAAGCATAACATATTCTGCTCCAGTCCTTTATCTTTACTCTTGTGTGTGTCTCTCTGCTTCATGTGTTTCTTTTAAGGAATACATTGTAGGATCCTGGTTTTTGATCTACTCTGCTATCCATTTCCATTTTATGGGAAGTTCATCCCATTCATATTCACAGTTCCAATGACTACCTGTGTTATTTTCCTCCATCCTATCCTTCCTCCTGTTTGTCCTCTTTCTCCTTTCTCCCTTTCCCACCTCACCAGTGGTTTGCTTCTGTCTACGTCTACCACTTCCCCTGATCTGCCCACCCTTATGTCAGTTACTCCCCCCACCCCGGGTGCCCTTTACTTACTCCCCTTTCCTCCTGCTTCCCTATCAAGTAAGATAGATTTCTATATTCGACTAACTGTGGATATTATTCCCTCTCTGAGCCAATACTGATGAGAGTAAGGTTTAAGCAATGCCCATCGCCCACCTTCCCATCTTCCCCTCCACTGTAACAGGTTTTTCTCACCTCTCAATATGAAATAATTTAACCCATTCTACCTCTCCCTTCCTTCTGCAGCCTTTGTACTCCTTTCTCATCCCTTAATTTTTTTAATATCATTGCCTCAACTTCATCTTATATGAGTATCCTCTATCTATGTATATTCCTTTTATCTGTATTGTTAAGGATACAATTTTTAAAAGTTACAAGTATCATCTTCCTGTGGAGGGACATAAACAGTTTAGCTCTATTGAATACCTCATATTTTCTTTTCCCTTTTTACCTTTTTATGCTTCTCTTGGGTTTTGATATTGGAGGTCAACTTTTTGGCTTAGTTCTGGTCTTATGAAGGCTTGAAATCTTTCTATTTCACTGAATGACCATTTTTCCCCTTGATATATTATGCTTAATTTTGCTGGGTAAGTGATTCTTGGTTGAAGTCCTAGCTCCTTTGCCTTCCAAAATATCATGTTCCATGATCTCTGATCCTTTAATGTTGCAGCTGCCAGGTCCTATGTGATCCTGATTGTGACTCCCCAATATCTGAACTGTTTCTTTCTGGCCACTTGTAGTATTTTTTCCTTGACCTAATAGTTCTGAAATTTGATTATAATGTTCCTTGGGGTTTTTATTTTGGGATCTCTTTCCTAAGGTGACTGACGGATTCTTTCAATGCCTCTTCTGCCCCCTGGTTCCAGGATATCAGGGCAGTTTTCCTTGATAATTTCTTGAAGGATGCTGTCAAAGTTCTCCTTTTGATTATGGCTTTCAGGTAGTCCAATGATTCTGATACTGTCTTTGCTGGATTTATTTTCTAGGTGGGTTGTTTTTACCACGAGGTATTTTACCTTTTTTTTTTTTTTTTTTTAACATTTTTTCCAAATGAAGGAATATTTAAGAGTATGGGTAAATGTGTTCATGGTTTTTTTTTTTTGTGGCACTGAATTTCATAAATCAGTTAAAGATAGTGTCATCTTGCATTCATTTAAAATTAGTGCCCTGTAACTATAACAGTATAACTCATGCTTTCTGGAGTAGTGTAAATATAGATGCCTTTATAATATTTTTATTCATATATATTTTTATTCGTATTTGTTTAGATGATATTTTCATTAATTCTTAGAGTCTTTGTATAATTAAATAAGCCATCTAAATTCCTGCTATTCTATACAATCTTGGCTATCATATTTTTTTTTTATTTGCACACAGTGTGCTTTTGCTTAACATTTATTTTTCTTCATTATTACAGTATACTTTGTGTAGTGGCACATAAAAGTACAATTTCTATTCCTTTTGTACCTGCTCAAAGACCTGGATTACATTTATAGATTTTCTTGACAGCTATGATAAGATAACATAGCATGCAAAGCAATATCTGATAGGATAGCTTTCTGATTATGATATCAGAAAACAAACAAACAAACATTGTTTGGTAGGTGTAGGATATTTTTATTGGAGTACTATTAGCTTCCTTTCTTTTATCTCTCTCATTTTTTGCTCTTTGATTACAGTTTTGGTAGAACTGAGATTTATGCCTGCATGTGCTATACAACTTCAGATAAAGAAAATACTTTCTGACAAGAAATTTTTTCATGTTTTAAACTAACCTGTATACCTTGGGTGGTTACCATTAAAAGCTAATCTGGAGGTAATAATTTTCTACACATTTTTGGATAACTGGCAACCAAAAGTAATAGATCATAAAAGTCCCTTTTAGTTTTCCTTAACGTATTCAATTTTTAAAGCAGATCCTATAATAATACAGACAGAAAAATCTTCTCCCTCAATGGTAGTTAGAAAATAGTTTATTTTGAGACATAGTTCTTCCTTGTAGATAACACTTGGGAGAAGGAAATAGCGAACCCCTCCAGTATCATTGCCAAGTATCCAATATCATTGTCTTCTCCCTTTCTTTGTCTCCCCAGTGCTTAGCATAGTGCCTGGCATATAGCAGACACATGCTTGTTGACTGACTGTCAGTTACTTAATGCTGTGGGCTTCATTTTCCTTGCAACAAAGTAAGAAAATCTTTCCAATTCTAAATGACATGATCCTTGATCAAAAATCCATCTTTCTTGAAAAAGTTTAATGTGAAATTTAAAAAGAATACCCAGATTCAAAAGTAAATTGCCTCAGGCTATAAATGTTCAATCATGATTATGCACTGACATTAGAAATCACCATCATTTTACCTCACAACTCATGTCCAAACCCTAAATAAGGTCAAATATATAAACAACTACCTAGCAAGTCAAAGTTAAACAGAAAAAGGAATGACCCATATTAAACATAATTGGAAAAATGAGAACCACTGATATCAGGATGGACATTAGACACTAATTATAAAGTATGATAAATGTGTTCTGATGTTCCTATTGTCCCATACACAAATGTATATAAATGCTGGGGGGGGGGGGGAAGGTGAGGGGGGGTGGGAAAGCAGGGCTATTCTCATCAAAATGGAGGTAAGGAGAAGAAAATGAATAAGTTTAAGGTAAAGAAGTGCAAAAATATTTAGATAAAGGAGCACAACATACTGAGAAATCCATGTTTAATTCTAAAGTAACATGACAGCATTATCTGAGGAAGAAAAATTAAGCTATCCTAATGGTCCACAAGAGCATCAATATTAGAGCCATTGACTTAGACCAAGAGAAAACTAGACCAACTGATTTAGAAAACATTATAAATATATAAAACATACATATATTACATAAATATAAAGCATATAGTATATAAATGTAAGCTTTTAAATATAAACACACAAAACATTATAAATGTAAAAAAAAAACAAAAATAGTAGTATACATCTAGGAATTTTATATTTGAGATTTTAGGCAACCAAAAAAAATCTGAAATCAACCAAATTTTCCAATTTAAAAGTTTTTTTTAAATAGGAAATTATGTTTACTGCTTATATAAATAAAGTCAAGGTCACTGGTTCCTTACCTTCCATAGAAGGCGCCTGGTCCTGGGCTGAATATAGCATATCCTTAAAAGCCTGTGTGGAAAAAAAAATGAAAATAAACCACATCAAACCTTAGATAAACTTTATAATAAAGTATTTAAACTGAGATACAATATTATTTTCTGGCTCCAGATAATAACTCTACAAAAACTCTTAACATGAAACCAGTGAGAATTCAAGTAGCCATAATATAGGTACAATGGAAAGAGGTACATTACCGGATTTGGAGTCAGAGGACCTCGGTTCAAGCCTCACCTCTCATTTATCAACTATGTAATGTTGGAAAAGTCATTTAAACTCTCTGTGTCTCAGCTTCCTATTCAGTAAAATGAGAAGATTGGACTTGATGACATCTAAGGTCCCTTCACACCTTCACTCTTCTCGACTTCACAGAATCCTCTTCTTCCGTTAAGACCCAGTTGAAGTACCATAGTCTACTTAGAGCCTTTCCTGATTTCCCCAGTTGCAGCGCCCTCTCTTTCTTGTACTGAATTATCCTGTGTTTATTCTATAGATACCCTGATGAACAAAGTGGTATGGAAGTGACCGTATATTGTTAAAGGCTACATCAGCAGAGCATAAGGTCCCTAACAAACTGGAAAGGTTTGAAGTATGAGTACAAGGTTGATATACAAGGTTGATAAACTCAAAGAAATATGTAAAACAGGTTGTCTGAAGGATATAGAAATTTTTTAGTTACAACTCCTGAAAATTACCTACTAAGTTGCAGAAGCCTGTGATCTTCATCTTCATTATACCAACAAAATCACATATCCTTTAAATATTGAAATAATGACCTTATGTGAGATAGGGCAGGCATGATGGGATGTATAAACATCTGAAAACCTCAAAATTCAGTTAATAACATTTTTGGAAAATCTGTGTTTGACAGATACATGTTCATGAATGAAATGTATCTTAACATTATAGATTTTATTTGTACATTTTATTACCATTACAAAACTTGACTCAAAAATGAAAGTTATTTTTAAATCCTCATCCTACCAAATTACACTATAGGTTTTATGATATGGATCAACCAATATACTTTATACCAGTAATTCTCGAATACTTTTGTTTGTTCACCACATAGGATAATATATTATTCCATGACCTGTCTCAAGCTTCTCCCCACTCCAACCCATCTTCCACTCAGCTGCCAAAGTCATTTCCTTAAAGGAGAGGTCTGACCATATCACCCTATTTCATTAACTCCAGTGGCTACCTATTACCTCTTAGAACAAACATAAACTTCTGCTTAGGATTTAAAGCTCTTCAAAACCTAGAACCCTCCTTTCAAGTCTTATACTTTATGACCCTTCAAATACTACAATTAGCAACACTGGCCTTCTTGCTGATGAACTCATCCAACATTCTCTTTTCCATCTCGATGCCTTTTCACTGGCTCTCTATACCTCATACCTGAAATGTTCTTGCTCGTCAACTCTGCCTCCTGGATTCATTCTCTGGCTATTTTCAAGACCTAATTCAAAATCTTTTAGCAGAAAATCTTTCCTAGTTCTGTTCCCCTACCCTCCAGACCGCAGTGCCTGACCTCATACATTAACTTCCACTGACACTGAAAGTATCATGTATGTATAGTTTGGCAAGTTATCTTCCCCTTAAGTGCCTGGAGGATAAGAACCATGTTTTTCACTTTCTTTGTATCTCCAAGACAGTGCCTAGCATAGAGCAGACACTTAATAAACACATACATATTGGCTGACTTTACAAATGTGACTACAAGTGTAACTTTCAATACAATTTGGTGCCCATTTAGCAAACCTCAGGATACAGACCCTTTAAAAACTGCTTTATCCAAACCTAGTCCATATTAAACAACTCCCTGGAATGGAGAGACAAAAAGCATGAAAGAAAATAAATACAATCATATGGCTATCACTTCCTCACCGAACCAATTCTCTTATTCTCTTCTCTAATATCATATTATTTAGATAGAATCAGTCATTCTAAAATACAAATCTCTGTAATATACTTTTAAAACAAACAGGCTATAATTTTTCTCTTTCCCAAATAAATTAAAACCAAAGAGATTCAGAAAACTAGATAAATTAATATTTTATTCAACAATAATCTACAATACAATGAATTTACACATAAATTCAAACCCATGGCCTGACTGTTCTTTAGAGCAGTATTTGCCTAAAAAATGAATATAAATTCTCCCTTAAATATGTCTTACATTTACTCAATAACTGTCCTAATTTCATATGTTCAAGCAAAGTGCTACAAAAGGACAGACTTTTTTCCCTGTTATCTCAAGACTTAAAGTAAGCAAGTGTGTGGCATTATTAAACTGGGGATTTCAAAATATCAACTAGGTATTTAAAAAGAAAAAATTGAGAACTATTACCTCAGTATATAATTTAGGCCAATATTATTCAATGCAAAGTAGAGAAAATACAGGCCTATGAGCTAGAACAGGGGTGGGGAACCTGTGGCCTCGAAGCCACATGTGGGCCTCAGGTCCTCAAGTGTGGCACTTTGACTGAATAGTGGATTGAGTCCCCAACACGGAAGAATGGGGGAGACTGGGAACTTGCACAATGGAGATAATCGGTGAAGTGTAGTCTTGAAAGACTGGAGATGTGGTTGTACAAGAGACAAAACCCCACTATTGGCTATCACTGGGAGGGTGGTATGCAATCCACCTTCCCACAGTCTGATTACACACCCCCTAGCAGTCAAGCCAGAACACCACCCTCTGCCCCCCACCTTTACAGACCACTGCCTTTGACACATATTAGCTGTGACCCTTTTTAGGCAACCCTCTAATCTACACATTGCAGAGAAGGTACAGGAACTGAGTTGGCAGAGAGTATTTCCTCATCTGGAAGTTCTCTAAACTAAATAACACTACAGATCTACTCCCTATGACTATCCCTTTCCTTTCTACAGCCTCTGGACTTAATCAGTAATTAACTAAACCCTGAAGTTCCATATTGCTAAATAAATAAGAACCGGGAAAAAAATGTTACTTTTACAACCCAAAATAGCAATTTAAAAACATGATTTGAGACTCATGCACATTTCAAAATATAAACTCATTCTATTCAAAGATATCGTCATTCAAAAATTCAAGGACTTTCTGATAATATGAAATAAATGACTTGCATTTCAACAGGTCTGAGATATCTACAATTGTAAAAATGTTCAAGAGAGCAGAAAAAACATCATTTTGATTTCAGTATCACTTATCACATCTGACTTTATTACAAATGTCTAAAGATAAAAGTGACCATATTGTCATCCCACTAGATGATAAATAACTACATAACAAAACTATTTTTAAAAATTTCTATTTTTTATCCCAATGTGTTTCATTTTCAATGGGAGAAAGAATGGCAGGTCTGAACTCAGGAAGATGAGAAATCTGGCCTCAAATACTTACTAGCTGTGTGACCCTGGGCAAGTCATTTAACCCTGTTTGCCTCAGTTTCCTCATCTGTAAAAAGAGCTGGAAAAGGAAATGGCAAACCACTCCACTATTTTTGCCAAAAAAAAATCTCAAATGGGGTCACAAAGAGCAGGACATGCAATCAGGGCCTAAGAGTTGGAGAATTCTCTGTAATTCTGTGCTTTGCTGTCATTCAGTCGTGTCTGACTCTTTGTGACCCTGTGGACCATAGCACTCCAGTACTATAACCCTGGGGGTTTTCTTGGTAAAGGTACTGGAGTAGTTTGCCATTTCCTTTTCCAGTGGATTAAGGCAAACAGAGCTTAAGTGACTCACCCTGGGTCACACAGCCAGTAAGTGTCTGAGGTTGGATATGAACTCAGGTGTTCCTGACTCCAGGCTCAGAGCTCTATCCACTGAGCAACCCGGTTGTCTAGACACTGCCCAAGGTGCTGATAATACAAAGAGAAAAGTGAAACACTTTCAAATCAAATGAGATAGTACTTGTAAAGCATTTGGTCCAGCGTCAGGTACACAACAGATGCAACATAAATGTTTATTCCCTTCCCTTACCCTCAAGGAACTTATTTTCCAATAGAAAATACAAAATGCACATATAAAGGCATATATACATACATGCTATGTACACACACATATACAGACATATTACTGCTGCTATTGTTGCTTAGTCATTTCAGTTGTGTCTAACTTTTCATGACTCTTTTTGAGGTTTTCTTGGCAAAGATTCTAGAGTGGTTGCCAGTTCCTTCTCCAGCTCATTTTGCAGATGAGAAATTGAGACAAACAGGGTTAAGTGACTTACCCAGGGTCACACAGCTAATAAGTGTCTGAGGCTGGATTTGAACTCAGGAAGATGAGTCTTCCGGATTCTAAGCCCAGTGAGCTATCCACTGTGTCACTTAGCTGCCCAGATATACACATACATAAACACATTCATACGTTCATACATATATCCATACATACATACGTACATACATATAAACAATCAAACAAAAGGCATATAAAGTAATGCCGCCCCCCGCCCCCCCCTTGAGCGTGGGGGGGGAAGGGAGGGTGTGATGTTGAGGAAACAAGAAAGGTCTCAAGGGTGATACTTCAGCCACGGTGTGACTGACTCTGAGTAAAGTACTTCTCTCTGAGCCTCAATTTCCTCATCTATAAAATGAGAGGACTGCCTTAGATGGTTTCTAAAGACCCTTTTCCAACTCTAAATCCTAAACTCCTAAATCAATTAACTTGTTTCTACATTTCCCTATCTATTAAATGGAGCCAATAAACCCAGCTTTGTTTCCTAACAGAAGGACAGAGGCGGGATTAGGGTCTAACAGCAGAAAGGCTTTGAAAAGCTTGGCTCTTCTAAACAAAAGAGGGTTTGGTCCTTCTGATGAATGTGCTAAGCAGGGAAGTAAAAAGAAATGGGTGCTGCTCCTAACTAGTCCTCCTGACTCTGTAGAAGCCAACAGAGGACAAGTGGCCCAGAGAGAAGACAAAGGGAAGAGAAAAACAAAGAACAACAGCACTGTCCCAGGCTAGAATACACTCCTTCCTTCCTTGTATTTACCTGTTCAATCTTCACCCATTCTTTAAAGACCAT